GCCCTATGGCCAGGGCAGCCGCGAGGGCTGGCAGCTGGCCTTGAGTTCCGCGAGTTCGACGGGAGTCGGGGCGACGACGCATCGGTCGGCAGAGGCAGCGCCGCGGTTGGCCCGGGGCCGGCGCCCGCGCCCTGCAAGCCGCCCGAACTTCGTCCCTTCAGCTCACCCGTGGCCATCAGACACGCGAGCGTCGGGTTGCCTGGAGGGCCCCCAGTTTGTTTCCGCCTACTTCTTCACCGGCATTGGAGTCAAAGCTGAACATATGGATTAATCTTGGTGCCCTGGGAAGCTCTCTGAGACAGCAGCGGCGTGTTCGGATGGCCCGTGCCGACGGGAACCTCGCGCCTCATGAGCTAAGTGAACCGGGCTGGTTGAAGAGCGCGGCGGCGGGGGCGGGCGGGGCGCGGCGGGGCGGGGAGGGGTCGCTGGCCTTGAGGCGCGCGGGCCATCAGGAGCTCAGCCCACCACGGGACAGACGGAGGGAAATTGTGGAGGTGGAGATCAGGGGGGTGAGCAGGGGCAGGGGCAGAGGAAGCCCAGGGAGCTGGACTACTTTGTTGGCGCGAGCTGCGTGTCGCACCGCGTCCATTCTGTTCTAGCGAGTCCAGATTATTTTGTATTTCCGCGCATGCTCGTCTGCCTGGTGCCGATGGGGCTGGCGCCCTCCACGGTCATCGCAAAGCAAGTGAAGATGGCGCCCTCCCCCCCGAGGCCCTGCGCCGGGCCGCATCTGGGACGCTGGGCCGCCAACTGGTCCTGGGAAGTTGGAAGTGCTGGGGGCGTCTTGGAGTCCATGGTCAAAGAGTGGTTCAACTGGCTTGGCGAACGCAATGACGTCTACGCTGCTAGCAGGGGCAAGTACTGCGGCAGGGCCACGGTCCCAATGGACCTCCAAGGCCCCCCTGGAGACGCTCAGGGCCCGCGAGGGCCGAGGGCGCCACTCGGACATGACGGCGCGGTGGCTACCGGTTGAAGCGCTCATTCGGGGGGCCTTGCAGTTTGCAAAGGGGCGCCCAGGAGGTGATGCGCGGGGGCGGCCACAGTGGCTGCGCGCGTCGGGGGTGATGATTCGGAGCCTGGAAGCTCTAGAGGTGGACTGCGCCGCCGAGTGACTTGGCCACTTGCGTTGCGAGCGCAATTTTCAGCCGGGCGGAGAGCAGGCTAGGTGGGGTCTTCGAATTTGCCCACGACCACTTGAAGTCAGACGGTCGCAAGTGTCTTGGCGGGTGGAGGGAGTGGGCAAAGCAGGCTGGGAAGAAAGGAAAAGGTGGTTCACGCGTACTCTCAAGGCGCGCGCTCAGAGCAGGGATCGCAGTCCGTCGCGCAGGACGAAGCAGGTTCGGCCCCAGTGCGCGGAGACACAGCAGTGCAGGAGTTGCTGGACCACTGGTTTCCGCTGTGGTTTAAGGCCAGTCGAGAGGGGAGAGACCACCCAGCGCTATGGGATGTGAAACGTCACAGTTTGCCACGCATTTCCCGGGGGTTTTGTTTCAGAAGACCTGCCGTTGTTATTCCGACGGGCTTCGGGTGGCATGGGTTTCGTCCCGGGCTCATTTTGTCTCTCGGTCGAGTGCCGGCGTCGAGTTATTGATGTCCTCCATCAGTTCGAGGACAGGGCCGCAGTGCTAAGTGATTTCCTCGCGACTGCTATCTCTTTGGGTAAGCCAGATGGGGGGTCCGTCCCATGGGCGCCCGTTGCACGCTCATGAAGTTGTGGTCGAAATGTCCGAAGGGAATGTGTAGAGAGTGGAAAACACAGCACCGAGAGACCTTCTTATGGGGTGGAGACAGTACCGAGACATGCGAGCGCGCTGGATGGATCCACAACGTGCTAGCGCACTTTGGCAAGGTGCTGGGCACCTCGGCAGCTGCGGCCCTCCCCGATGTAAAGAAGCTCTATAAACGCATAGATCACCTAGATCAGCAGGGCAGCAGAGTGCCGCGGGTTCAGTCTGAAGCCGTTGAGGAGACTGCGCGTGATTTATGCGGGGGGGAAGTTCCTGCATTACGGAGGGGTCATATCAGGAAGGGTCCAGGGGCGCGGGGCAGTTATTGCAGGATGTTCAGCCGCAACTACCGCGACTGAGTTATTCTCTTCACCTCTTTGTAGCGGGCGCAGGCAGGTAGGCCGCCGTTTGATCTTCGAAATGGTATCGACGACTTTGTTTGCCAGACCGTCGGGCTGAAGGAGCTGGCGGCCAGGCAACTGCAGAAGGCGCGCAGAGCTTGCTTCCCAGTTTCCAGGAGCTCGGCCCCCTAACGTCGACGAAGCCGAAGCATGTGGCAAGCGACGCGAGCATAGATGGCATCCCGCAGCCGAACTGGACTCTCCCCAAAAGAAGCTCGAGTTGAGCACGCGAGGAACCTGAGGACCGACGCAACCCTGGTGACCTGGCGCCGCGCGGAGAGCACGGCCAGTTCGTCGAAGATTCGAGGGGCCAGGATAAGGGAGTTGAGGGCTGCGGGGGCCGCCGCTACTTGGATCCAACGAGGAGGCCTACGGCCCCGGCTCTCTGCGACTCCAGCATCATGAGGGTCCCGCCTTGCCAGAAGCACCATCTTCGCTTGGGGGCGCTTGGAAGTCGGAGGGAGGTCCCGAAGGGCCTCGCAGTCGGGCTTCGCTTGCATTCTTTCAAAGACGGCTTCGGAGTGGACCCTCTCGCCATCAACATAGGCATGGTAGGTTTCATGTGGGCGTCGGCCGTCTGGGAGACGTTCCCGCAGCTGCCCGTCCTGGGCAGGCGCTTGCAGGGGACCATGAACAGGTTGATCGCGTTGCGTGCGCCGTGGAGGGCCGCTGCAGCCCCAGCTGACGTAGCTTTTTTGAGCCTGTTGAGGATTGGCTGGGGCTTGGCGAGTGGCCACCGGATCATCACATACAGGCATCAGTGCACCGACCTGTGCGCGAGCCCTCATGCACCAGTCAAGTTGTTGCTGTGCGGCTGCGCGGGGGGGCAAAGAGAGCGCCATACTGACAGGCCCTAGCTGCGAGGGAACTGTCGGCGCCGAGGTGTTTGCCGATGTTTTGGAACCGTCTAAGAAAACTGCTGGATCAGAAACGACTTCCTGGACGTGTAGACATCCGCATGCGCTTCGACCTCTGATATCGGGAGGGCAATGGACGCAACAGCGTTTGGTTCGGCATGGACTTTCCGAGGTTGGGCGCTGTGACACATGCAAGGACCTTGATGAGCCCCCTGGCATCGGGCCTACGCCAGTCCCGGACGCCAGGCCCGGCGTCGTGAGCAAGCATCGACGTTCTTCGCCACCCGAGCGGCCAGAGCCACAAGCTGGGAGATGACGTGGGGGAGAGGTTCGCGAGAGGCATGTTCCCGTCCCCAGAGATGCTGTTCACCATGCCCGCCTAGCCAGGAGTCGATCAACTGGCGCAACAGACCAGAGTTGGGACTCCCGAGCGGGATCCTTTTCACGGATGGATCGGCCCTGTGGGCCGACGCGGTGTTCTTCGGCCGAGTGGGCTGGGCCGTTGCGCAGGTAAACCAGTTCGGGGAGGTTGAAACGGCCGCTTTTGGGCCAGTCCCGCGGGCAGCTTGCTCGAGACAGACTGCCGGGATGTTGAGGATTATGCCATTCGCATGCTCACCGTAGCTGCCTTTCAGCCACTCCACCTGTATACGGACTGCGCGGGGACCGCAGGCGCGTTGCTTGCGGACACAGGAGCAGGTGTCCTCCAGCCAACCTTTGGAGCTCTTTTTGGGTATCGTTTTGAGTAGGCGATTTTTCAAGTAGGAAGACTAAGACCCATTGCGCGAGAGCTGACGTTTGACGCGGGCAGAACCACGGAGTAGGAGTTCAAGGGAAACGCCGCCGCGGACCGCTTCGTGAAACAAGGAGCCTCGATGCATCAAGTGGGCCCCGAATTGTTTGAGCTCTGGCGTGGATGTAAAGGGCTGGCCCAAGAGACGGCCAGATGGGCCACCGAGGCCCACACTGAGGCAGGCGACGCGCCAGATCATGAAGATTTGATCGGAGCGCATTTCAGGACTAGGGCGGAAGGCGGCCGTGGAACAGAGCCACAGGCAGAGCCACTGCCCGAGAGGCCTGAGGAAGAGGGGAAGCTCGGGGCGGAGCCTGGGGGTTACGGGTTTGGGCTTGGGCGGAGAGAGGTCGCTCAAACTACTTTTCGGTGGCGAGGCCAAAACCTTTTGCAGGCAGAAGTAGAGGAGCGAGTGACCCCAGTTAAATGTGTTGTTCATGTGTTGCAGCCTTGGGGCGGTGGCCTCGGACGACCGCCTGACGTCGAGCTTGGAAGCCCCATGCCCAGGGCATCGGGCCAAGACAGGGGATTCCGACCAGCTGCGCAGGCTACGAAAAAGGCCACTTCTCTGCATACCGCCCCAAGGTTCGAGACCTTACCCTGTGTAGGCCCCACGGTGTCGTGCCCGAAACGAGGGCTGAGATCTGCGAGCAGGCAGCGGCGGAGCCGTTCCCCCGCGGCAGAGCCCGCGGAGGTGCGCCTGCAGGGAGCCTGGGGATGGACGGACGTGGGGGGGCGGGCGGAGGTTCTGCGCGCGTTCGAGCCGGCGGAGGGAGAGCTCGAGATTGCGGGGGATTTGGGCCGCAGTGCCTTGCGCGGCTCGGACAGCGACGAAGATCAAGAGTTCGAGGCCGATTCTTTTTCGGTTGATGCCGTTTTTGCCGCCTTTAGGGCAAACCCATACCATACCATACCTCCTCCTCCTCCCGCCTCGCCGCGCACCGCCGCTCCTCCGTTCGCCCGCCCCTTCCGTCCGACCTGCGCCCGCTCTCCGCCCCCGCCCCCACCGCCCGCCCGCCCCCCGCGCCTCTTGCTGTGAGATCCGACGTTGTGAACAAGTTGCAAGATTTCGAGAAATCACGACCGGCGCCCTGCACTCCATCTTTGTGCTAAAAGTTTTCGGGCCGCATCGATCTGCGAGGGTCCTGGGGCCCAGAACTGGGCGAAGGCGCCCGGCATGAGAAACTTGCAGCGCCCAGATCTGAGGGTGCGTGGCGCCGAGGACACCCTGCAGAGCGGGGAGCTGGCGCCCATCCAGGCGCTGGCCAGGCACGCGGACGTCATCCTTTCCAACATCCAGGGCATGGCCGAAGAGGCGTGGGGGTCCTTCACGGACGAAGCCCTCGCAGAGCCCGAGGAGGAGCTGATCCGCGTGCCGCGGCTGCGGGCCAGCGCCTTTGTGGTCCTCAAGGACGTCGCCGCCGCCATCGTCTCCGTCGCCGTCGCAGTCGCCGTCGCCGTTGTCGCCGTTGTCGCCGTCGCCGTCGCCGTCGTCGTCGTCGTGGTGGCGTCCCATCTTCCGTGATCCGCGACGACAACCACGACGCCAGGCTTCTGGCCGTTATCGGATTCCGAAGGCCCTCGCCAGGCCCGGGGCCGTTAAAATCGACTCGGGTAGTGATCGAGAACTCCGAGCGTCACGACGTCGGAGACCTCGGAGGAAGTGGCCATGGGCAATGTGCTGCTGGCCTCTATGTTCCGCACGCTTGCTGGGGATGCCCGGCCGCTCGTTGCCCGAGGCTGGGCCCACCTGGACCAGTTTGCTTCCGCTCCCCTCTGCGCGCCGAGAGGAAATCGACAGGGCCCAGGAGATGTTCAGCAAGCTGGGCAGGTTGCTCGGCGCCCGCATCTCGAAGCGCTACGAGCTGAGTGACTTGCAGGACGACGCGACCACCGCGTCCGCCACGCTCTCGCTGGCACGCCAGCTGCTTCAGCCAGTGGCAGACGGCAGCGCGGAGGAGATGCGGGCAGGCCAACCACAGCGATAGTGAGAGGTATCCTACAATCCTCCTCTCCCCTCTGCTCCACTGCCTTCGTGTTCTTCTCACCATCATTAACATCTCCTCCTGCTCCTCGTCGCATCAAGCCCAGATTGTCCGAAGGAGTGGGACCTGACGAGCAGCATCGATGACTTCGTGCAGTCGACCGCGGGACTGGACAGCATCTATAGGAAGGTTTGCGACGGGGCTTCTGCACAGGAGGAGGAGGAGGAGGAGGAGGAGGAGGAGGAGGAGGAGGAGGAGCGACAGGCAGAACGTACCTCTGCCCTGACCCTCCTCTTCCCCCTCTTCTCCCCCATCATCCCCCTCCCGAGGCGCCCCACCTCTTCCCTAGGCTTGGGCGGTCCCCAGTCCAGAGCGGTCTCAGGCCTTTCTTCTGCTCGGCCAGCGCTCGGGGATTCGGGCGATGCTCAGCCGTTCGCTCGCTCCTTCCCCCTCCTCCTCCTCCTCCTCCTCCTCCTTCTCCTCCCTACTGGATGGGAGGGCTTGGAGGGAGTGGGTCCAGTCTAACACGAAAGGGGGATTGGGTTGGGCTCACAGATGGTCTAAACGGCTGGAGGCCTGGCGTCCGTCTTCTGTGCAATACAAGTCTCAGTACACAGGCAGGCCCCAGCATATACTGCAGGTCGAAGCTGATCGTCTAGCTAAGATATGGCAAGTATCCCCCGAGACCCCACCTCAGCTCGTTTCTGATGTAGATGATCGTGTCGCCCTGGGTCCGATTACCCCCAAGAGGCTTCGGCAAGTTGCGCGTAGCTTTCCTCACGACACAGCTTCGACCTGGGATGGTTTTCATCCGCGACACTTCAGTATGTTGAATAATGAGCAGGCGGAGATCGTCTGCCAATTTATCGATCTGCTCGAGAAGGTTGGTCACATGCCGACTCAGCTCCAGGGGATTGTCTCAACTCTTATGATTAAATTGAAACAGCAGGATGCTCCAGCCAGTCAGCCCTCGTTCAGGTCTATTGGCATGCTACCAGCGCTCTATCGTGTTTGGGCTCGCCTTAGGAGGTCGGCGGCCAGAGAGTGGGAAGCCCACCATCTTCGGCCTTATCTTGCTCACCAGGCTGGCCACTCGATTGTTGAATTGGTCTACAAACAATCATTGGAATGCGAGTTCAACAGCTCAGCCAAAGATCAACGATACAGCGCCCAGGTCCTTTACGATCTATCTAACTATTATGAACATGTTGATCGGCCTTGTCTAGCGCATCGTGCTGTTGAGTCAGGTTTTCCATGTTGTTTACTTCGTATCATTCTATCCCCGTATGCCAGCGAACGTATCGTTTCCTTGCAAGATTGCGCGGTCAGCGTCGGTAAACCTTGGAGGGGTATTGCTGCTGGCTGCAGTTGGGCCACGCACCTAGTGCAGATGTATGTGCTCGCCCCCTTGGACATATGGACACAGGCCCATAGTCACATTAGGCTCGCGATGTTCATTGATGATCTGCTGCTCCAGTGCCACGGCCGCAGTTTCAGCCTCATCGTTAGCCAGTTGAGCATAGCCGCCAGATCGATGGCGGATTGCATCATCCACGAGTTTAAGTGCCAGATTTCCAGCAAGAAGACCCAGGTGCTAGCGTTTCACCAAGCCTTGCAGGACCAGCTCAGGACTAAGCTAGGGCCTCTGGCAGGCCCAAACCCAGATCGTTCGGGATCCAACCTGGGAGTTGAAACTGGGGCCGGCCGCCCCCAGAGAAGGCGGAGCAAGTTTCGACAACTTACGGAGCGTCTTGATAAGATGCGTAAAAGACTTAACAGGGTCCGTGTGCTGAAACGTGCTGGGGGTAACACTCACAAGCTGCATAAGACTGGCCTTGAAGCGGCCAGCACTTTTGGAGTTGAGGTCACTGGCATCAACGGCACTCAACTTGAATCAGCTAGGTCGCAGTTTCTGGCTGCCGCGGGCCCGAGATGCTCGACCCGCAGCCGCAGCTTGGCGTTGCTCATCCTCCAGGACCCCTTGTGAAAAGCTGCCCTCGGTCCCGCCGTTATGTGGCATCGTTTAGTTTTGGGATGCGTCTACCCGCCCGCACTTGGCCGTGGCCAGCAGCTGCGGGCTTGGGCTGAAGCCATCCTCCCGAGAGTTTCTAAATCGTGGGGTTCCTCCAGGGGCCCTCTCAGTGCGGCGGTGCTTTCGCTGAAACGTATTGGTTGGAAGTTCCAGGGGCCGTTTACCTTTGTGACTGCCTCAGGTCTTCAGTACCCACTCCCAGGACAACCCCCCGCCTTCCTCCAAAAGCTCATGGAGCACGACTGGCGCGGCCAGCTCGCCTCCAAGGCGGCCGTCAAGCTCGGCCACGCGGGCGCTCAGTTAGATGTTGCTGCTGCTCGGATTGCTCCCTTGTCAGACCTCCCTGGACATCAGAAAGGCACCCTACTCGCCTTCCCCACCCAAAGTATCTGGGCCATGGAGAGAGCCAACGCAGCAGGATATGATGTTCCAGTCGGCTGCGAGCGCGGCCATCATTCGGATAACCTCTGCCACAGATTATTGCACTGGCCGAAGACAGAAGAACTCAGAGCCGCTCGCTTCTCGGATGCGGAGCTTCTGCGTTTAAGAGAGCCCCCTCCCCAGGCCACTCTTTTGCGTCTTGGGTTCCAGCTGGCCCCTGAATTCCGCGGCGAGCCTCCTCTTGGATCTGGTTTGGAGTTTGGGGAGTTCTGATGTGCTCCAGGGGCATCACCCCGCAAGAGGCCTTCAGCGAGGGGGACGTGTATATAGATGGCAGTTGCACCAATCACGGGCACTATGTGCTCACTGCTGCTGGTTTCGCTGTTGTCTGCATGAGAGACGGCGAAGTTTTTGCCCATTTCAGTGGCCGAGTCGGCCAGATGTTTTCGCCAACTCCTGGAGCCGCGGAGCATTTGGCTGCAGTCGCGGCCAGTCCCATGTCTAGGGGCAGCGAAGTGATTCACTCTGACTACAAGGGAGTGCTAGTGCTGCATCAAGGCACCGGGTGCCCCCGTCGCAATCTTCGGGCTGGGTTTAAGGTTTTGGCTGGCAGAGGGTTCTTTCCTTTAGGGTCGAGGCTCCAAAAGGTCAAAGCCCGCCAAGATATACAAGCCCTGCCCGTAGGTAGCGATGTCCGCCGCTCGGCGGAAGGCAATGACGCTGCGGACCGTCTGGCGAAGGCCGCAGCGCACAAGGGCGTTCAGCCCAGCGAAGATGAGAAGTGCAATTTCGCTGAATATAAGGTCGTAACTAAGTATCTCAAGTATGCGGCTCAGGCTCTGGGAGCGCGGCCCAACGCGGATACCGCCAGTCCGCGGCCAGCGATTCATCATTAGCGGTCTCGCGGCCATCACCATATTTATCTACATATATGCGACGTCTCTCGCTGCTGAGTATTAACTGGAGCTTCTAGTTCTGGCAGGTGCGCGCGCCGTGGCCGCCGCCTCGGGCTCCGCCGATGGTGGCGAGAGGTGCAGACCCATGGGCCGACGCAGCAGGCGCACTTCCTCGGAGCCAAAAAAACGCCTCTCCCAAACTTCGGGCACACATCCGCAAGGAACTCGAAGAGGCTCTGGCACAATTGAGCAAAGTCGCGTCGGACAGGCCTGCAACTCCTTCCCCGAATCGGTCGCGAAGATCACCGCCGATATTTCCTCGTGCCAGGACAACAACGAAGGCGACCTCATGCCCATCCAGCTGCGCGTGTATGATGGAGAGCATGCCCAAGCTGAACTCCAGGCCTCGGCCAGGCCGCCAATCCCGGCATCGACTTCGAAAACCTCGCGAGCTGGGGCAGGGCCCCGCACTTCGGCACGTTTTGCGGTGGATGCGAGGAGGAGGTCTCCTCAAAGCAGCCTCCTATGGCTGTTCAGAGTGGCTCGCGATAGCTGGCCATTCACTCTCGTGCATCTGCGTCAACTCCGACGCTTATGCGTCGAAGCACGTTTTCATTGACATCGGCGGCGACCTGGTGGCTCGTCTTATTACAGAGGCTCTCTACAAATCCTTCAAGACCGGCAGCAAGCGCGGCGCCTCCACCGCAGTTGCGCGCTCAAGCAGGCCAGTGCCCTCACGCACCAGCGCTGACAAGTCCCCCAGGATGGCCCGCCAGGAGGTGCAGCTCAAACGTATGTCCCGCATCATGAGCGAGCGCGTCCCCAAAAAAGGCGGCGGGTTAGCAATGTCTCGCGTGGCTGCGGGCTCGTCGGCCAGCGCCTGGCGCCGCGGGCGAGCGAGCGCCAGTTCGAGGGGGTGCTCGCGCAGGCGGCGGCGGCCGCGGACCTCGGCGCGGAGGAAGCGCGGATCCCGCTGAAGGCGCTCGTCGACCAAGCAGGGGAGGAGGAGCCGGTGCAGAAGCGGCTGCGGTCGCTCCAGCGAAGGGCCTCCTGGTCGCGAGCAGCCACGAGCGGCAGGAGGCCGCCCCCCCGCCAGGGGCCCGGGCGCAGGGGGGGCCCGCAGCGCGCGGGGATGCCGCGACACCGCCAGGGGGAATCGCGCGCGGCTGGAGGCTGGGCTCGCCGGAGGCCCCGCTCGATCGACCCGCGCGGCCTCCGAGACGGCCGACGCGGCCCAAGATGGCGCCCTCGGCCGCGCCCCGCCCCAGGCGTTGCCATGAAAAAGGCGCCGCGGCCGCGCCCGCAAGCGGAGGTCGATGCATCCGCCGCGCCGTCAATAAAAACATGTATTGCTCCTCGCCCCCCCCCCCCAAAACATCTCGATGTTTTCACTTTGCGGGCCCGGGATCCCCGACGCGTCAATGAGACGTCTTCTCGAGGGCAGTCCGAATTTGTCTCTCTCGCGAGGTAGACTCCGACTGCCTGGCAGACTCATTGATGGGCAGAAGCAGACAGACAGACAGCCAGAGAGACATATTGACTGACTGACTGACCAACTGTCTGGTCGCACCCGCTGCGCGGCGGCTTCGTTCTCGGCCGCCGAAGGCGCAACTGATGGCGCAACCAATGGGGGGCGGCTTCATTTTCGGCCGCCGAAGGCGCATGCGGTTTCATTATCAACCGCCGGCGGCGGCGCAACCTATTCCGCAACCGATAGGAGACGGTTTTATTCTCGGCCGCCGAGGGCGCAATCTATAGCGCAACCAATAGGAGGCGGTTTCTATCTCGGGCGCCGAGGGCACAACCTATGGCGCAACCAGTAGGAGACGGAAATGTGCTCGGCCGCCGAGGGCACAACCCATGCCGCACGAAACCACACA